CATAATGAGGGTACCCTTTATCCCACTGTTCGAATTGGAACCTAAACCTAAACCCCAAACCCTGAACCCCGAAGCCCCTAAACCTGAACCCTAAACCCCTAAACCCTTAAACCCCTAAACCGTAAACCCTTAAACCCTAAACCCGAAATCCTATAAACCCTAAATCCTAAATCCTAAACCCTTAAACCCTAAACTCTAAACCCAAACAAGCACAACCCTACGCAAGGCGGACTCGCTGGTTTCCTGGCGGAACTCCGTTCGCTGCAGCCGTGGGGAGGCGCGCTCACACCACGAAGGGAGCAATCTGGGTAGTTCTCTAAATTAGGGGGGATCCTTTTTATAAGGGTCTCGTACTATATTGGGGATCTAAAGACGGGCCCTAGTTCAGAGAACGACCCATATGGAGGAAGGGTTTGAGGTTCAAGGGATCAGGGATGTGGGGATTAGGATGTTAGAGGGCTGTCGACGGTGTCGAATCTTGTAGTATAGTGGGCCCAAAAACCCTATTCTAATTATTAAGGCCCCTATATTAACTTCAAGCAATATCGGAGCAGACGAAACCCTGCCCAGAAGCCACAAACAGTAGATTGCAACTTCAAGCTACTGTTGATGATATAAACCCTGCATTACCTTAAGGACCCCAAAGTATGGGAATTATGGTATATTCCTTATTATGGGCAATGCAGGGTTTATATCATCAACCGCAGAAGTCAACAAGGCGACACCCCACGTGAGACCAAACCTAGAACCCCACAAATGCCCCAGACCAAAGGGTGGGATCCTGTCAGACCCGAATCGAGTTCCTGACTAAAATCACTAGACGACAGCGGACCCTAAACCCTGTATACACCCTAAGCCCTGAAACCCATCGCACTTCAGCAAGACCCTAAGCCCTGATCCCAGACCCTACACAAACCCCAAATAACCCACCTTTTTTTCAGGACTTCTGTTATGAACTCCCAAAAAAAGAAGTAGCCATCAAAAATGTAGGTGCCTACGGCCGAGGGTCCAAGAAATCCGAGTCTTAACCTAAACCCTTAAACCCTAAACCCTAAACCCTTAACCCTTAAACCTTAAACCCTTAAACCGCAACCCTAAAGCCGACATGACCTACCTTTTTGTCAAGGAACTTTTACGGGAGTTTCCGAAAATCAGGGTACCTTATTTTGGGGTCCTTATCATAAGGATCCTACTATTTGGGGTGCTATATTAGAGTCCCCTATTTTCGGAAAACCCCATATATAGAAACCGTAATGATAAGGAGCCCTCAATAAGCAGGTCTTGTCGGCTACAGGTAGTCTTAACTTAGTAGTAGAGTAGGTAACCTTTAACCTTGTTGGGTACTATAATCCTTTCTCGTCCCAAAGGTTAACCTTTAGTTCCCATGATACTGGAAAAGCAGGTTACTATAGGCACCTTGATAATTACCTATGCTATTTTTTTTTGGGGGGGGGTCCTTATGTGGTGCTATACCCAATTATATTGTAGTATAATGTACCCCTATTCCAACTATCAAGGCCCCTAAACCCTAAACCCTATTCTAATTCTCAAGGCCCCTAAACCCTAAAACCACCAAAGCCCCATTCTGATTCGGCTCCCTAAACCCCAAAACCCCCAAAGCCTTATTCTATTTCTTAAGGCCCTTAATTAAACCCTAAAACCACCAAAGCCCTATTCTAATTCTTAAGGCTCCCTAAACCCTAAACCTTAAGCAAGCCAAGTTCAGGCCGAGCTCCACTTACTGGTGGAGCTCCGGCGCTGCAGGCGTTTAGGGTTTCGGGCTTTGGGATTCGGTTTAGGGTTTAGGGTTCTTAGGGTTCTTAGGATTCTTAGGGATTCTTAGGGATTCTTAGGGATCCTTAGGGATTCTTAGGGATTCTTAGGATTCTTAGGGTTTTGGGCTTTGGGATTTTTGGGATTCTTAGGGTTTTTTTGATTCTCAGGGTTCTTCGGATTCTTAGGGCTTTGGGTTTTGGGGTTTAGGATGGTTCTGGGTTTTGGGTTAATTCGGGTTCTGGGTTTGGGGTTCAGGCAGGGTTTAACACGAAACCCTACAAACCCTGAACCCAGTAGGGTTGTAGGGTTTTGGGGTTAGAAGGTTCCAGGACGGAGAATTTGTGGAGGGATCCGTAAACAAGGTTTCATAGGGGACCTTTTTCGGATTCGGCTTCGGGGCTTTCGGCGTGTAGGTTTCGTGGGGTATTTGGGGGTCTAGGCATTCGAACTTCGTAAGGTTTCAAGGATTCTTTAAGGCTTGCCAATAGTGGTGGTTTAGGGTTTTGGGTTTTGGGTTCTTGTTTGGAGGTCACTTTAGTTTGTGCGGCCTTTGTCGGGTTATTGGCATACGTTTTTTTTCAGATTTGGAAGGCTTGCTGGGCTAAGCGCCAGGGGCTCGAGGGTTCTGTAGCGGATGGGTGTTATACATACGGTGTACTAACAAGGTAGTTCTCTAAATTAGGGCCCTTATTTTAGGGGCACCCTTTAAAAAAAAGGACCCCTGAAGGGACCGAAATTCAGAGAACTACCCAACAGGACTCTGTTTGGAGGGCTCAGAATAGCTCACGGGGCTTATGGGGTTAGGCAAATTCGGCTTAGTCTCCTGTGCCCTACACACTAATCTAAACTCCTAAACCTCTATACCTTAATAGTTCAGAGAGGCCAATAGAGGGTTTGTAGGGTCCAAGAGTTCGGGCTCCAGGGGTCAGAAGCTGAAGTTCTGTTGCTCAGGGCTTCGGGTTTAGGTTGTAAGTCTTTCGAGAAGGGTGTGCAGGGCTTCAGCGGCTTACAGAACCTTGGAGGGGGGGGGGGGTATATAATAGGTTCTTAGATTTTAAGCTGTGGTCCAAAATGGACACGCCCGCATGGAGAGGCACTAATCTCTTCGTTTGCAAAGCGGCTCAGCAGACGGCATGAACGCGGGAGTTGCGAGGCGAGCATCAGGCCAGGCTCACAGCTGAGCACCCTGATAGCAGTCGCAACGCAGTGCATAACGGATGTCATGAGATGTGCTTGCTGACTTCCACGGCTAACCGTCTGGAACAGCAGCGTCGCTATGAGTGTAAGTGGTGCACCTTGTATCGTGATGCTGGATTTTTTCCGACGTGGAGAGAAAGATCGGGACAAGGCTTTTGGCCCCAAAATCCTCAACCCGAACACTTCCACCTACGACGTGCCATACCTTCAGCAAAGCCTAGGAAACGCATGAGAATCTACCTGTAGTCTCCATTGTAGTTCCTTTTTTTGGTTTAACCAATTACATATTTAGGAGTTTATAAGGCATCCCCAAGAAGGAACTACAATGGAGACTATAGGTACAGTCGAAGCTTGACAAATGCTGAGAAAGCCCTGCAAAACCAGGCTGTCGGGCTTGCTTCGCGATGTCGTTGCGGAGCCCATGTGGCGGGCGGGGATCTCGATGCCGTGGCCTCCTACTTGGAGATGTAGGATATACGACCCCTCCTAGATAGCTCTAGTAAAGGCTCTTTGTGTGTGTGTGTGTGTCGCAATTATGGGTATTGGAGCCAGAAGAGTATCTACCTACGTAATTGAAAGTAAGGTTTCTATAGCAGGAATCACGATTGTGGATTCAGTAAGTATCCCCCATGTAGGTAGTGGTGGGGGATTTAGGGTGTGTGTGTGTGTGTGTGTGCGCCCGCATTGCGTTTGGACTTCCTTTGGCGTGTCGGGGCCGTCTTGGGCTTCTGCGGGCCTTCATCAAAGCTCCCCAGGGTTTGGGGCGCAATATTGGGGCCTAAATAGTTACTCGTACCATTTTGGGGGCTCCTTATTATTATTTGTACTATAAAGGACCCCAAAACCCTATTCTAATCATTTCGGCCCCTATATTAATTAGGGTTTAGGGTGTAGGTTGTGAGTCTTTGAGCATTGCCCAACTCCTTCGAGCGATTGCTTAACAGCAGCTATTCCAAAAAAACTGCAAGCCCTATCTATACTAAACCCTTATCATCTCTTAACAGTCTTAACCCATGAGCCCTCCACGGCCCTACACCGCAAACTCTCCGTAAAGCCTTTGGCTTTGCTCCTTCCTAACCAAACCCTAAACCCTGAAACCTAAACCCTAAATCCTGAACCTTGCACCCTCAACCCTGCAACCTCCAAACCCCAAGCCCCTATGGGAGTTTCCGAAAATGAGGGGTACCTTATTTTGGGGGTCCTGGTAATAAGGATCCTACTATTCAGGGCTATATTAGGGTCCTTTATTTTCGGAAACCCCCATGTCGAAACCTTTATAGTAAACCTTTTAGTAACCCACCCTTCTGGAACCTTTGTAGCAAGCTAGATGAGTGGGTCGAAGCAAGCCTAGCTGGAGTAGCCGTACTTATATCTTCATCCGCTTAATTGTACAGTAGTTATTAGGGCTTATGGGTATGTTTTCGATGTTATCAGGCTTCAGTTTTGAAAGTTTCAGGGGTATGTTTTCGATGTTATCAGGCTTCATTTTTAACAGTTTCAGGTGGAGTAAACCTTAGACCCTAAACCCTAATAAGCCCTAAACCCAAATAACATGTAAACACCAGGTGCAAAACGAAACCGGCTCGGACGTCCTTTTCGGTTTGGCTGCAGGCTGCCGATCGGATTAGAGCTCTCGGGTTGCTGATGAGGGCCCCTCCGGGCCCCTTGAAGGGATCTACACGGAGAAAGGGGTGTCTATAAGGGTTCCAAAAGGGTACTATTAGGTCAGGGGGTCCTTGTTATGAGGGTGCTGAATTTTTGGGGGGACAAAAAAGGCTAAATTGGAGAACTACCCATTTGAAGGTTGTTCTGAAGTGTCCTATCGAATCATTGGGAGCACTACACTTCCTTATGAGGAGATCGCAACCGAAAAAAACAACCTGCTTCATGGCCAGTGTGTGACAGGTATTCGAGCCACGCCCATAGATAATGTCCTCATTTTTTTAAGCTGGTGACTGCATCTCTTGGATGTTGTGACAAGGAAACTAGTGGCCTTTCACTCCTACTGGAGGGGGTGTGATCCTAAACCCGAAGCCCTAAACCTAAAACCCTCAACCCTAAAACCTGTGTGGGATTAGCTCCCTTTTTTGGGGGATAGCAACGGTAAGCCTGAAGGGCTTAAGGTGTCGCGCCCGAAAAACACAGCGAACCAAGCCCTACACCCCAGGGCTCGAAGTCTGCAAGTAGTACCTACTTCGGGGCCTAACGTCTATAAATTGTACCTGCTTTGGGCGAAGGACCCTAAACTCTGGGAATTCTTGTATATTCCTTATTATGGGGTAATGCAAGGATTTATATCATCCACAGTAGTACCCCTTGGGCTATTTGGAGCCCCACGGACAGGCCCATAACCTGTGAAACAACAACTTAGAGACACAACACGCGCCACAAAACTCGAAGCTCTGAACCTAAACCCTAGGGTTTAGGGTTTAGGGTTCCGAAACCCTGAACCTAAACCGTAATCCCGAAACCCTGAACCTAAACCGTACACCCGAAACCCTGAACCGAAGATCCTGGCCTTGGAGAGGCTCTGGGGCAGAATGCTCGCGTGGGCTTCATCCCGCCGCTGCCTCTGGAGACTCTCGGGTTGCCCTTGATGGGCCCAAAGGGTCCAAAGTGCCTATTATAGTGGGGTCTAGGGTTTGGAGTACCTATTGTAGTAGAATGTAGGGTGTATGTATGTGTATATATATATATATGTATAGACACAGAGGGTGATTGGGGGAAGTATCACCCCGTAGCAGTACCTAGGACCCTTTGCGGGGGTAATCCCTGTGGGATAAAGGAAGGCCAACCCTACGACTCCACCTAGCCTTGGGCTGCTGTTTATAGGCTTTAGACCTCAAAGTAGGCACGCTTTGTATACTTGAAGTGTGCAGCGTTCAAGGTGTAGGGTATACCTTAACCCCAAATAGCTTACATTTTTAGGGACTTACATAAGGAAATCATGATAAGGAACCCTAAACAGGTAGGTTCTTTAGGGTCCAGGTAGGGTTGGGGGTTTCAACTCAAGTCGTTTGTAACCGAGTCGGCTTCGGCCTGAGGGCCATTGGGTTTACGGTTTGCCTCAAACCTAGGGTTTAGGGTTTAGGGTTTAGGGTAGGGTTTAGGGTTTAGAGTAGGGTTTAGGGTTTAGGGTTTAGGGTAGGGTTTAGGGTTTAGGTTTTAGGGTTTAGGGACCACATAAGGACATCACAAGAAGGAACCCGCGAAAAAACATAGTTAGGTTTCTTGAGGTTTCGGGTTTGGGGCCTCAGAATCGCGGGTTTCTTGGGTTTCCGGGGTCAGGGTCATCCAGCCTTACAAGCCTGATAGGCCTTAAACCCTGAACCTTAAACCCTAAAAGGCCTAAGCTGAAGAGGTCACGCTGCACCGAGCGACCCCGGGTGAAACTTGGTCGACGGCACTAGGCTGGGATGGGCACCTAAGTGTCTTCGAGGTTTTTGCGTTTAGGGTTAAGGCCGTTAAGGCCGGCTCGAGATTTTCTGGACCTCGAAAGTAAGTAGAATAATAGCCTTGATGGGTACTGGGCCATTATTTCACAATTGTTTGGTGGTGCGGGTTAGTTTGGGCTGAGGGTTTAGGGCATAGGAGATGTCAATCACTAGCTGTGACTTTCATGCCCCTTAGAACCAACGCATAGCATACCCAAGGTCCTAATCCATTGTAGTTCCTTCTGCAGGTTACCTTTTAGCATCCTTCATATACAGCTGGTTAACTACAATGGAGACTCTAGGTAGTCGCTGAACCCTAAACCCTAAACCCCAAACCCTAAACCCTGAGCCATAAACCCTAAATCCTAAACCCTAAACCCTAAACTCTGCTACCGAAGTCCTTCCCCAAGCCTGGCGTCTGAAACGCGAAACTCGACCCAGTGTCCGCCTTAGCCTTGAACCCAAAGCCCTCCTAAACGGTCCTAAACCTCAAAGCTTAAGAAGCCCTAAACCCTAAAACGTCCCTAAAACTTAAAAAGCCCTAAACCCTAAACCCCAAACGATCCTAAACCCTAAGGCTTAAGAAGCCCTAAACCCTAAACGGTCCTAAACCCTAAAACATCCTGAACCATGTCACCCGGGCTTTGGTTTATGATTCGTGCAGCCTGTCGCACGGCTCAGGATTTGCACGTATAACTTCTCTAGGGTTTAGGGGTCAGCAGTTCGGGGTTTAGGGTTTAGGGATTTGCAAGTATAACTTATCTAGGGCTTCGGGGCTAGCAGTTTGTGGTGTGGGGTTTAGGGTTCAGGGTTTACGTCCAGGGACAGAGGATGAAGGTTTGCGGATGTCGGGTTCAGGGCGGCTGAGATGTGCAATGCTCCGGGTAGGAACACATTGGGCCGGCGGTTGAACATGAGCGGCTTTAGGGGTCAGAGTCTCTCCCACCCTATAAAGCTTAAACCCCCAAACTTTAAGGTTTAGGGTTTTATAGTGGCCAGAATGTTTGCCAAGATACTTCCTCCGAGCTCCTTATATGCTCCGGAACCCTACTCTGGTTATTGAGGCAGGTACAATAGCATCATTGAATCTGGTGTCCTCAGTTCTAGGCCCCAAAAAACCTAAACCCCCCACACCAAAGCCCAAACTTTTTAAACCCTAAAACCCTAAATCCCTAAATCCCTAAACCGTGCCGACTGCCAGATGACTCTGCCAGGTCCCCTTCAGCACGACCCCTCCTTCCCCTTGGTCGTTAGCTTCGGAGTTGGCCCCTCAGCCTCTTTGTTCAACCTGGGGTTTTGGGCAGTCATATAGGGGCCTTAATAATTCGAACAGGGTTTTGGAGTATATGATACTATAATTATCAGGAGGAACCCCCAAAATAGTATATGTAATTATTTAGGCTATTTAGGCCCCTAAATTACTGCACCGCCCCGGCCGTGTCTTCTTTTTGTTTGCTTCCGCTGCGTCTGCTGCAGCCTGCCTCTCTGTAGCTGAACTTGGGGGGGTGTGCACGGTGCAGAATTCGGCTTTGGGCTTAAGCACTCGGATTTGGGCTTTGGCTCAGCTTAGCTCCAAATAAGCCACCTTTTTAAGGACTTAAGTATAAAGAACTCATATAATAAAGTACCTATAGTCTCCATTGTAGTTCCTTTTTGGGGATGCCTTATAAACTCCTTAACATATAATCGGTTAAACCAAAAAAAGGAACTACAATGGAGCCTACAGGTAAAGCCAAAAGGGAGGTTTTGTGGGGGTCCAGGTAGGACTTCGGATCGCAGCTTCAGTGCAATGCCCGAGGCCGAGAGGGGCGGATCTACATCTTGGACACAGGCAATTCGTGGGTTTAGGGTTTAGGGTTTAGGTTTAAGGTTTAGGGTTCCTTAAAGGGTTTACGGGATAGGGGTTTAGGGTTTAGGGTTTAGGGGGTTCAGGCCTTTGCAGCACCTGCACCGGTGAGTAGTGACACAGACCTGATTGCAAGCTTGAAGCCCCACAATCGAAAACATGACCCGTAGCCCCCTTAACCCCTAAAGCACGCAACACCCTCAACCCTAAGCCTCTAAAGACCTAAACCCTAAACCCCAATCTCCTTAAACCTAGCCCCCTAAACCTGCATGCACCCTAAACCGAAACTGACCGCAGCCCCTCTTCCCTCAGAGTCCCCTTGTCGCCAAACAAGACTCCGCTCTCCCGAAAAATGGCTTCCGCCGCCCTTGCAGTGCCTGGGATCTTGCTGGGATTTAGGGTTTAGGGTATAGATTTTAGGATTGGGGTCTTGATACAAAGGGCGTGTGGTGGGCATTCCGTAGGTTTGTTGTTCTTTTCGTTCAAGGGTTTTATAGACTTTATAGTACAGAAAAGCATTTTGACCCAAGGTGCTCTAAACGGTTTGTAACCCACGCAGGGTGTGGCTAGGTGACCCTTTGTTTTTGGAATATAGTGTGTACATACATACATACATACA